ACAGTTTTTTCCACTTCACCTGCAAACGACATGGAGGTCAAGTGGAAAGTAACTTCACTTTCATTTTATTTAAATAGAAAGTGAAGTTAGTCATGGTGGGTAGAGGAGCTCCTCTGGTAATAATACCGTTCACCTTAAACCTGCTAAACTAAAAGGGAATAAAAACAGCAGTCTGCACCACTTTACTGGATGGTGGAGATCTATCATGATGATGATGATGGAGCGAATAAGTAGCTCAGAGGAGACGATTTTATATGATGGAAAAGTGGACTTTTTAAAATGTAAGGATTTTGGAAAATCAATTGTATTTTTCTGCTCTTATCCACTAAAACAGTTTTATCAGAAATGTAAAAAAAAAAGAAAGAAAAAGCCTCAAAGACAAAATGATACCTGCTTTTTTAAAAATGATTTATAATCTTTTCTTTTCCCGCGGGGCTCCAACAGCATAAGGCAAGTTACATTCCAGACTTTAAGATTTTTTAAAGACACTTGAAATAAAAAGTTAAGACCAACTTCACAATAAACACAAGAAAAACCTGGTGACGACAAATTTACCCAAATATTTATTTTAACTTAAACTGGAGGTTTTCAACAGGGGGTCCGCAACCCCTAGGGGGTCCACAGAGGAACTGCATGGGGGTCGCCAAAGTTTTTTCTTTTTTTTTTTATATATTCCCTCCTGCAATTTTTTCCACTATGTCTAAATGTCTTTAAATCCACATTAACATGAATTGAACAGACTGTAGTAAACAGATAAATGGAGGCAGAAGATGTCTTTCAGTCATCAATGCTCACATTCAGAGACACACAGGAGCTCTTTCAAGCTGGGCACCGTTTCATTCACAACACCTGTCCCATCAGCCAGGAATCAGAAACACTTTAATAATCCCAGGGAGGGATTACTTTAGTTACATTACTCCATCTGTAATAGAGTGACTATAGGACCAGTTTGATAGAACACTATTTCATACAATATATATAATTAGGCGGTCGCTGCTTCATCTCACCATCGGTTTGCGGGTCCTTGGCCTGGAAAACGTTGAAGAACCATGAGCTAAACCATTACTTTCTGGCCCAGTAGAAAATTTTTAAATGTTGAAAAACTTTGCATCGAGGAAAAACGCAAAAAAAAAAAAAAAACACAAATAACAGATCTATTATTAAAATCTACTCGGCTGAAATCATGTTTGTTTTGATCCTCACTCAAAGTCTTTCATTTTAAACAAACATTTTAGCAGCGTTCTGATGGCATTTTAGCCAAAGAATTTTTATCAAAAACATAACTAATGTGCACAAATAAGGAATATGTAAACAGAGTTTTATGGGGCCCCAGGAACCTGGAGCCCTAGTCAACTGCCTAGTATCGCCCTAATATGTGTCACAAGTATAAATTGGCCTCAAGACCTGTTAAAATGATAGCAGTCGGGTAAAATTGAGATGCACGTTGCAGTGAAACCATCCTAGAATTCGTTCCATTGAATAAGAAAACCAAGTAGGTGACCAGTTTCTAACTGGCTGCTGTTTATGTTAATAAGCAACAGCTTTCCTCAGATCCACGCCTTCAACACACAGACCTGGGTGCTGTAAAGCAGCAGAGGATCCACACCTCTGAGCTGATCTGATGGGAAACATTCAGATTAATTTCATGTGTTCAATGGCTTCAATAAGTGAGATTCTCAACAGATATTTTGCATAAAGACATCTCAGCTTTCTACTGTTCATTTGTACGTCAGCGAACCATTAAATTCCCTAATAATCAACCCATTACCTCACTGTTACAACAGGATAGGAGAAACAAGCTTAGAGTTGAGTGTTGTCAGTGTAAAGCAGGACTTTATTAAAATGGAAACTGGAGACACTTTAGGTTAACCCTCCTATAGAAGTAAATAATTCATCTACATTTTAATTAAAAAACACAAACTAAAACCTCTACAGTTTGCCCTCAAAACTTTGTCAAAGTTCACTTACCCATTCTAAGACACGAATGAAGCCCAGAGGTTCCTTCAGGGGCCCCAGGTCCAGAGAAAACCCAGAAACAGGACTCTGCTCAACAGAAAGGTTCAAACAGTCAGAGGAGTTAGCTCAGATTAGCACCCTGAATGTTAGCCTGTGCTACAGCTAGCTCTCTCTGCAGACTTAAACAGTCAGTTAGCCTCTGAGCTACTGAATGCTAACAGTTCTTCACTGCTGCTACTAACCCACCTGAGCAGACGCCATTGGGACGTTTAGGAGGGAAAAAATGTTTTTTAAACTCTGAATATTTTCACTTTGTTCGCTGAGGAAAGTTAAAAGAACTCTGTAGGCATTCGAGCGGACATACGATACAGACACGCCCGTTTACGACGCGCTGCTGTCAAACTAGGCAGCCAAAGGCTGTCATCCCCTCCGCAAAAAAAAAAAAAAAAACACACTTCCGGTTTCAGTGGGTCAGCTCCTTTTCCTAACCCCGTCTCATGTCCCGGGATGGGAGTCACCACGAAGTTATTTATTAGTTAAACCTCCGGCGAGGGCGGCTGTTAGCTCGTGTTTAAATCCTCACTCTTGGCTAGGTCAGATATGATAAATAATATAAAACCCAGTGATCACAGCCGAAGGACACAACCTATATATATATATATATTAGGGATGCACGATATAATCTGCCCCCTACCGGTATCGGCCTGTATTGGCCTTAAAACTGAATATCGGACATCGGCCACCCCACCGATATTTAACCTGATATTTGATCAGCTTCTGAGTTTCTAAAGTCTAAAAAAAAAAAAAATACTACTTCTTTTTCTTCCTCAAAATCTTACTTTTTTACAGACTTAAAAACTTCTAAAGACGAGGGAAAAAATATTGATACATTAAAATATCCCAATATCTTCCTATGCTGATATATTGCCATTTAAAAACACCAGTAGGTCACCCCATCAGTGGCGGCCGGCCCATAGGGGGCGCTGGGGCACCGCCCTCCCTGATAAGAAGAGAGAAACGTAAATATATTTTTAGAAATTAACTCATAAATGTCAGTTTTACTCTCTAGACTGTGTACATATAAGCAAAACAAATTATATAAACTACATTTCCCTATCTACTGTCATTAATTTGTGGATTTCCACAGACAGACTCCTACCGTCTCTGTTCTGGGGGCGCTGATCAGACTGACCCACATTTGCAGATAATCTGTCAATCATGTACTATTGCTAGGTGAATTTAATGGCCAATCAGCGTCTCGGAACTTTATGGTATTGGGGCGCTGAAAATACTGCGCTTTACCAGGCTTCTGAACCCAAGCGCAGGTGCAGACAATTAGAAGGAAGATGGCGAATGTAACGAACGAGATGCAGCTTCCACCAAATTCGGTGAGATCCTTATTTATCTACCCGTTTGCCAGAAGAATATCCCTGTTGTATGATATGAACATTTCATGTCATGGTTATTGTGACTGTGACGAATCCACCTCGTCGCTTAAAACAACCTCTCTAACTTTGCGCACCACACACACATTCTTGTTATACTGTGTTTGTGAGGACCAATCCGCTCGCGCTGAGACCAGTAGCTCCATGAACTTAAAACACACAAGCTGTTCCTGGTTACCTGCTGGCGTATTGAGGGTGCACACTTAATATTTCAGTGGGGTTAGCCGTGTGTGTGTGTGTGGGTGTGTGGGGGGTGTGGGTGTGTACGTGTTTATGCTACGGGAACTTGTCATCTTCAGTCTGGCTGCGTCTTTGCTGGGTTCAAACCCAGTTTGGTGTAATTGAATAAGTCAATGAATCTGTGTAAAAGAATTAAGTTGTAAAAATTATTTGTTTTTGTACATCAATTGTTTGTGGAGGTAATATATGGACAAAACTGATTAATGAGAAGAAATCAGAAATAAGAGAGCCTGTAGGGGCTTAAACTATTTAATGAGGGCTGTGGGAAGAAAAGCGGCAATTTTTGTTTTCTGTTTCTTTGTTACATTGCTGGTAACTGGAGGGAGGCTGAGGCCCAGAGGATCTTGTATGTTTAGTTTCTTTTGCACCCTGTTTTGAGTTTTTGAGCTCAATAAATCACCAACACCGGTAACCCGACTGAGACTGGATTCTTGGAGGCCAAAGAACCCCGTCACAGTGACCCAAATCATCACTGTTACTGTTATTATATAGTAAATTAAATCATTACTGTTAAATTGTATGTATTGTCCAATTGTTTATTTGAATTCTTATTCCGGATTAGTTGGAGACATACACTAGGCTATATCAGCCCCACCAAAAATATTTTTCACCAGCCGCCACTGCACCATATCAATCTCTTTTACTAATGAAATATTGCTATATGTCATCGTTATGCTACGAAATCCCCCGAAAATTCAACAAATGTTGCCATATTTTTATATGTTGATATATTGACGCGGTATCGATCTATTTTACTAACAAAATCTCACAAGAATTTGCAAAATATCACGAGAGTTTGTAACAGAACGATGACATTTCACGAGATTTTGAAAGTAAAATAGATCGATACCGCGTTTTTAAAAATCGATTTGATATCAGCATATGAAAATATATTTGAGTATATTATTTTTCAAAGTGTCAGAAATGGATAACAAAGCTGCTATTTTCAATGACTACTTATTTTTGTCCAGCTTTAACATCGGTATCGATATCGGTTATCGGCTACATGAGTTTTAAAATATCGGCATATCGGATATCGGCCAAAATCCCAATATTGTGCATCCCTAATATATATATATATATATATATATATATATATATATATATATATATATATATATATATATATATATATATATATATATATACATATATACATATATGTATATATATATATTGTGCATCCCTAATATATATATATATATATATATATATATATATATATATATACGTATTTATATACGTTTGTGTCTGTGAGAGAGACAGACCGTTGTAAGGTGAATGAACGGGCGGATGGACAAATGTCCGACTTTTTCTGGTTCCATAAACGCATCAGGTACAGCAGTATTTTAACCAACAGCCGCCATTTTGTTTGTATCTCAGTGCCGCTTCGGAGCAGACCGACCCGGGACCACAACTCTCGTATTTCAGAACTTTTTAAAACTCATTTTTAAAACAATCAACTGGTAATTAACACTTTACACTCTGTTGATGTGTAATTTGCTATAAGTATCCGGTAAGGCTGTAGAAAGAGCGTTCTCCCGTAATGACGGTTTAAACAGCCATCTTAACATTTAGCTGGAGTTCTCGGCCTGTTTGATGTAGCATTTGCTAACAGAAATACGGCTTCACCAGCTGGGTAGTATTAGGAAAATCCTGCTATTTATCTTTGATGCTTTTTTTGTGGATTTTCATCAACAAAGAGTCGATATTAGTTTGTAATCTTGTATATTTCTACCATCGCGTGGATCGGTCGTAGCTCGCTCCAGTTAGCTTTAAGCTGTTTTATTCTGCTTAGAGTAAGTATGTCACCGTTTCCTTCACTTTTTCTGTTGTTAAACTTGTGTTATTTGCACCAAATATGGGCAGCGGTGGCTCGGCTGGCCTCTCCATGTATCCCAGCCTCAAAGGCCGAAAGATTGAAGCATATATTCCCTCCTGATGGGAGGGAAGCACCGTTAGCCTGCTATCAGTTGTCCGTGGGTGGGTAAACACGCAGTGGGTTTATGTGGGATCAGTTCCTATTGGTCAGAAGATTAATGATCATTTCTTCAGTTTGCTTTGGAGCTGCTTTTCCACTCAGGGATCTGTCCGGAGATCAGAACCAGTGCAAATGAATGCCATTATTTACAGAAAACCACCAAACTAAACTCACCTGGAGGGAATGGGAGCTTTTTAATGATTCATTAACTCCCAGGAGAAATAACCAGGAAGGATAAATGGTTTGATCTCTGGAAGGATGGGCCAAAATTAAAGCGGTGAACAGCTCCAAATACTGGACCTAATAGTTGTCTTTCCAGAAATGGGAAACATGAAGCAGTGACTGTAATCAGATGGAAACAGTGGTTTTATTACTATGTAATAAGTATTCACTCATATTATATAGAGAGAAAATAGGATTTTCTTTGATAAATCTTTTAGTAAGTAAATCAAATTCTGTTAGGAGTCAATTCATTACAAACACTGGATTATTTAATCTCATTTAAAGTATGTGTATAAGTGAGTGTATGCATGTGCATATACACACATACTGCTTTATATGTGAGTGTAGATGGCTATAGATTAATAGATAACATGCATACTATTGAGGTTTTATTATTAAATTCCCTCTGACATCATTCACCTTACTCCAGTCTGGTAGGTGGCAGTAAATGCACCTTAAGTTGGCTGCAATCCGCCAATAAAACAAAAGAAGAAGAAGAGCCCTTCTAGTAAAATGTGGCTTCCTGCTTTTAAGGCAACATGAGCTGTAACCCTGCTTTGTGTCCATGATGAAATGTTCCTGCTGTGTCTCTCTCTCTCTCTCTCATTAACCCTCTTCAGTTCCTTGGCGAGTGTTTTTCATTTCTAGGTTAAATGGGAGGGACCGACCTCTGGATGTGGATAGTCTGTCCCCGTCAGAAAGCATAGCCAGAAGATTTTTTCCCCCCCATTTTCAGCGTTGTTAACCATCAGCTGAAAAGCACTAAAAGCCTCTACCTGCTTTTTTTAATCAGCCACCATCATCTAAAGCACAAGAAGACTCAGAAGATGTTTTTTTTTTTTTTTTTTTTTTTTTGGTTTCTTTTTTGACTACATGTCAACCCAACCTTTGACCCTCAGTTTACAATTTTTTTTATTTGTCTGCTGATTAATTCCTCCTATTTATTTCCTCGATTAGCCTCTTCACTTATTCGTACAAAAAAAAAGAAAAAAAAAAAGGACTTTTGCGCCCTCTGTTAGCAGTCTGTCTCACCTCGCCTGAGACCAGGAATCACATAGGAAGACGAGGTTTTCTGGGCGACCTACCCCACATTTCCTCTTATCTCATGGATCAAGTCTTCCTTCAGGACTCCATATTATTCCGGAGACTTGGCAGCAGCTGTGAGCTGGCGAGGAAGGCAGCGGCGAAGGCGTCTCAGGTTAGTGGCTGCAGAAACAGACTGGAAGCGTCTGCTTTGACGAGTCGCACATTCCTGTTCTTCCATCGTACACCTCTGATGTGTTTAAGGGCTGCAGTTATCCGTTGCTATAATCCAGTGGTCCCCAAACTACGGCCCACCTCCACACTTGGTCCGGCCCCCTGAACAATACCAGAGAGTATTTTCATATAAGTGTTTTGTTTTTTTTCTGTTGTTGTTGTATTTGATTTTAAAGTTGGACATTTGCAATAAAATGTTCATTAATTATGAAGTTTTTTCATTATTAACTATAAGTAACTATTTCATTTCATACATACAGGTGCTGGTCATAAAATTAGAATATCATGAAAAAGTAGATTGATTTCAGTAATTCCATTTAAAAAGTGAAACTTGTATATTATATTCATACATTACATACAAACTCATATATTTCAGATGTTTATTTTGTTTAATTTTGATGATTACAAATGACAACAAATGAAAATCTCAAATTCATCATATCAGAAAATTAGAATATTGTGAAAAGGTTCAAAATTGATGGCCCCTGGTGCCACACTCTAATCAGCTAATTAACTCAAACCACCTGCAAAAGCCTTTAAATGGTCTTTCAGTCTAGTTCTATAGGCTACACAATCATGGGGAAGACTGCTGACTTGACAGTTGTCCAAAAGACGACCATCGACACCTTGCACAAGGAGGGCAAGACACAAAAGGTCATCGCTAAAGAGGCTGGCTGTTCACAGAGCTCAGTGTCCAAGCACATTAATAGAGAGGCGAAGGGAAGGAAAAGATGTGGTCGAAAAAAGTGTACAAGCAAGAGAGATAACCGCACCCTGGAGAGGATTGTGAAACAAAACCCCTTCAAAAATGTGGGGGAGATTCACAAAGAGTGGACTGCAGCTGGAGTGAGTGCTTCAAGAACCACCACACACAGACGTATGAAAGACATGGGTTTCTGCTGTCGCATTCCTTGTGTCAAGCCACTCTTGAACCACAGACAGCGTCAGAAGCGTCTTGCCTGGGCTAAAGAGAAACAGGACTGGACTGCTGGTGAGTGGTCCAAAGTCATGTTCTCTGATGAAAGTAAATTTTGCATTTCCTTTGGAAATCAAGGTCCCAGAGTCTGGAGGAAAAGAAGAGAGGCACTTCATCCACGTTGCTTGAAGTCCAGTGTAAAGTTTCCACAGTCAGTGATGGTTTGGGGTGCCATGTCATCTGCTGGTGTTGGTCCATTGTGTTTTCTGAGGTCCAGGGTCAACGCAGCCACATACCAGGAAGTTTTAGAGCACTTCATGCTTCCTGCAGCTGACCAACTTTTTGGAGATGCAGATTTCATTTTCCAACAGGACTTGGCACCTGCACACAGTGCCAAAGCTACCAGTACCTGGTTGAAGGACCATGGTATCCCTGTTCTTAATTGGCCAGCAAACTCTCCTGACCTTAACCCCATAGAAAATCTATGGGGTATTGTGAAGAAGAAGATGCAATACACCAGACCCAACAATTCAGAAGAGCTAAAAGCCACTATTAGAGCAACCTGGGCTATCATAACACCTGAGCAGTGCCACAGACTGATCGACTCCATGCCACGCCGCATTGCTGCAGTAATACAGGCCAAAGGAGGCCCAACTAAATACTGAGTGCTGTACATGCTCATACTTTTCATGTTCATACTTTTCAGTTGGCCAACATTTCTATAAATCCTTTGTTTTTATTGGTCTTCAGTAATATTCTAATTTTCTGATATGATGAATTTGAGATTTTCATTTGTTGTCATTTGTAATCATCAAAATTAAACAAAATAAACATCTGAAATATATGAGTTTGTATGTAATGTATGAATATAATATACAAGTTTCACTTTTTAAATGGAATTACTGAAATCAATCTACTTTTTCATGATATTCTAATTTTATGACCAGCACCTGTATAACGAGACAATGTTCCACACTTTTGGGGTCTGTGCCCCTATCTGGCAACCCCCAGCATAAAATCTTAAACCCGCCCCTCTCAAAGAGATACGGAAGAGGATTAGGGCCATTCAAAATAAATAAAAATAATAGTCTCTTCAATTCTGACTTTATTCTCAGAATTCTGAGGAAAAAGTCAGAATTCTGACTTTAATTAAGAAAAAAAAAGGCAGAATTGAATAGTTTTTTTCTTCTTTTGAATGGCCCTAATCCTCTTCCGTAAAGAGCGAACGGAATAATGGCGAAAAGATAAGGTAAGAGAAAAATTGATTCAGAATGCAGGGCATTTAACCTGAATTGGACAAACAATAATTTTTTTTGTTCAATGTAAAGAAAAGGCCGTCTGTGTCATCTGTCAAGAAGCGGTGGCGGTATTCAAAGAATATAACCTGCAGAGACACTATGACTCCCGTCATAAATTTAGGCACTCTTGCAATCGTCACAATTTTTCTGTTACAAACTGACCCCGGCCCCCCATGAGAGAAGGGAAAAGTTATGTGGCCCTCACAGGAAAAAGTTTGGGGACCCCTGCTTTAATCCATTCAATAAACAATAAAGTGGTACTTTTAGGAAATTAACATTTGTAAATAAATTTATGCTTGAAATAAAAAAAAAAACGACTTTATTGCAGATTTAAATGGGTTGTAAACAGCAAAAATGGCCTAATTTGTTTCCCTCCTTCTCTTTAAACTTTACTGAACTGTTAGTTTCAAAGTTGTCCAGTTAGAAGGCGCTGCAGCCTTTAGGATCAGCTGATTGGTAGAAAGTCGGTGATGATTTGTCTGTGTTGGTATCAGGGAGAGTCCATTCGTTCCAGAGGGGAACCAGCTGCTGGGTCACCGCCGCGTGTTACTATGACCAACCATGGAGATGACTGCTACTTCTTCTACTACTCCACCTGCACCAAAGTAAGAGCTGCCAGACACTGCTGCTGCACCGCATTGGCAGCCAGAACAGAGAAAACAAGCTTTCTGTGCTTTGACCAGGGGGACAGCTGCCCGTTTCGACACTGCGAGGCCGCCATGGGCAACGAGACCGTCTGCAACCTCTGGCAGGAAGGACGCTGTTTCCGGACCGTCTGCAAGTTTCGCCACATGGAGATCACGGTAAGCCTGGTTTAACTAACCAGAGAAGTTTCTGTCAACCTGACCAGCGGCTGGACTTGTCTGTTACTGCAGTCAGATGTTAAAAAAATCTGAAAAACACTCCACAAAAAAAACAATCCACTGCTCTTTGTTTCTAAGTTTGAAGACGTTTCTCTTCCATCCATAAAGGTCACTATTCTGCATATTGCTGCACAGAAGCGGCAAGAAAAACAACAACGGGCATAGTTTGGTGGCGCAGTGGTTAGCGCGCACGACCCATGTACGGAGACCTTAGGCCTCCACGCAGCCGACCCGGGTTCTTGGCTCCATGTCTCTCTCACTGGAAAAAATGTAAATCTAGATAAGTCATTTTTTCTTAAAATAAGTGCATTTGTTCTTGAATTAAGGACGTAAAAGAGAAATTTTGCCAATGGAACAAGACAATTTACACTTAAAATAAGAAAACAGAACTGCATTGTTTTATTTCAAGTGCATATTATCTAATTATCTTATTCTTAGAGTAACAATACTCATTCCATTGGCAAATGCTCTCATTTACCTGCTCAAATTAAGGGTAAATACGCTTAGTATAAGGAATTTTTTTACTTATTTCTAGATCGTTTTTCGCTCATACCCGCTTTCCTGTCAGGCTACTGTCAGAAAAACGAGCCACTAGAGCCGTAAAAACTCAAATAAAGAAAAGAAAAACAGCAACCGGGATGGACGATGATGCGGAGAGCAGTATTTATCGTTAACCATCTTGAATGATTGAGTTTTTAAGGTTGGGAAAGACGCGCTCCAGCGCTACCATCCATGCTAACTTCCATAAACACAGAGCACGCTGGCTTATGATGTCATTGCTTCCTCTACTGTGCATTCGGGACAATTAAGCTCTATGAATGCAGTTCACACAGGAGATCACATACAAGTACTAGTAATACATATATTTGGAAATGTGAACTGCAACGCAAAAAAAATTACAATTGAGCATCAAGGCTTGCAGTGTGAACTAGGGAGGCACGATATTGGGATTTTGGCCGATATCCAATATGCCGATATTATAAAACTCATGTAGCCGATAACCGATATCGATACCGATGTTAAAGCTGGACAAAAATAAGTAGTCATTGAAAATAGCAGTTTTGTTATCCATTTCTGACACTTTGAAAAATAATATACTCAAATATACAGGTGCTGGTCATAAAATTAGAATATCATGAAAAAGTAGATTGATTTCAGTAATTCCATTTAAAAAGTGAAACTTGTATATTATATTCATACATTACATACAAACTCATATATTTCAGATGTTTATTTTGTTTAATTTTGATTATTACAAATGACAACAAATGAAAATCTCAAATTCATCATATCAGAAAATTAGAATATTGTGAAAAGGTTCAAAATTGATGGCCCCTGGTGCCACACTCTAATCAGCTAATTAACTCAAACCACCTGCAAAAGCCTTTAAATGGTCTTTCAGTCTAGTTCTATAGGCTACACAATCATGGGGAAGACTGCTGACTTGACAGTTGTCCAAAAGACGACCATCGACACCTTGCACAAGGAGGGCAAGACACAAAAGGTCATCGCTAAAGAGGCTGGCTGTTCACAGAGCTCAGTGTCCAAGCACATTAATAGAGAGGCGAAGGGAAGGAAAAGATGTGGTCGAAAAAAGTGTACAAGCAAGAGAGATAACCGCACCCTGGAGAGGATTGTGAAACAAAACCCATTCAAAAATGTGGGGGAGATTCACAAAGAGTGGACTGCAGCTGGAGTGAGTGCTTCAAGAACCACCACACACAGACGTATGAAAGACATGGGTTTCTGCTGTCGCATTCCTTGTGTCAAGCCACTCTTGAACCACAGACAGCGTCAGAAGCGTCTTGCCTGGGCTAAAGAGAAACAGGACTGGACTGCTGGTGAGTGGTCCAAAGTCATGTTCTCTGATGAAAGTAAATTTTGCATTTCCTTTGGAAATCAAGGTCCCAGAGTCTGGAGGAAAAGAAGAGAGGCACTTCATCCACGTTGCTTGAAGTCCAGTGTAAAGTTTCCACAGTCAGTGATGGTTTGGGGTGCCATGTCATCTGCTGGTGTTGGTCCATTGTGTTTTCTGAGGTCCAGGGTCAACGCAGCCACATACCAGGAAGTTTTAGAGCACTTCATGCTTCCTGCAGCTGACCAACTTTTTGGAGATGCAGATTTCATTTTCCAACAGGACTTGGCACCTGCACACAGTGCCAAAGCTACCAGTACCTGGTTGAAGGACCATGGTATCCCTGTTCTTAATTGGCCAGCAAACTCTCCTGACCTTAACCCCATAGAAAATCTATGGGGTATTGTGAAGAAGAAGATGCAATACACCAGACCCAACAATTCAGAAGAGCTAAAAGCCACTATTAGAGCAACCTGGGCTATCATAACACCTGAGCAGTGCCACAGACTGATCGACTCCATGCCACGCCGCATTGCTGCAGTAATACAGGCCAAAGGAGGCCCAACTAAATACTGAGTGCTGTACATGCTCATACTTTTCATGTTCATACTTTTCAGTTGGCCAACATTTCTATAAATCCTTTGTTTTTATTGGTCTTCAGTAATATTCTAATTTTCTGATATGATGAATTTGAGATTTTCATTTGTTGTCATTTGTAATCATCAAAATTAAACAAAATAAACATCTGAAATATATGAGTTTGTATGTAATGTATGAATATAATATACAAGTTTCACTTTTTAAATGGAATTACTGAAATCAATCTACTTTTTCATGATATTCTAATTTTATGACCAGCACCTGTATTTTCATATGCTGATATCAAATAGATTTTTTAAAAACGCGGTATCGATCTATTTTACTTTCAAAATCTGGTGAAATTTCATCGTTCTGTTACAAACTCTCGTGATATTTTGCAAATTCTTGTGAGATTTTGTTAGTAAAATAGATCGATACCGCGTCAATATATCAACATATAAAAATATGGCAACATTTCGTGAATTTTCAGGGGATTTCGTAGCATAACGATGACATATAGCAATATTTCATTAGTAAAAGAGATTGATATGGTGTTTTTAAATGGCAATATATCAGCATAGGAAGATATTGGGATATTTTAATGGATCAATATTTTTTCCCTCGTCTTTAGAAGTTTTTAAGTCTGTAAAAAAGAAGTTTTTGAGGAAGAAGAAGAAGTAGTATTTATTTTTTTTAGACTTTAGAAACTCAGAAGCTGATCAAATATCGGGTTAAATATCGGTGGGGTGGCCGATGTCCGATATTCAGTTTTAAGGCTGATACCGATAGGGGGCCGATTATATCGTGCATCCCTAGTGTGAACGTAGCTAAAGTTAGCCTGCAATGCCCCATACCTGTCTATGTCTCTGCAAGGGGGTCGTTAAAGGGAATTGTTGGCCTGGCTGAACAGGTAAGGTCTCCTGTTCTCCTGTAAAGGGGCTGCGATGATAGCGGGAAGGAATCAACTCTATTGCTGCTTTGTAGGTTTTTGAAAGCCCCCCCCCCCCTCTGTTTAAGGTTGGTTTTTCTTTCTTAACATAGATGGCTTCCTTCACGCTCCTCTCAAACCACCTGTCTTCTTTGTCCAACATGTGAACATTCTGGTCCTCCATTGAATGAAAACTCTTCCTGGATGGAAGAGAAAGTCTTCAAACTTTAAAACAAAGTCCAATGGATTGTTTTTGGTGTTTTTTTGGATTGACTTACTGAGAATCCTCACCAGCAGCCTGTGAAACTCTTCATGCTTGCTGATCCAAACCTGTCCTGTTTCTCTGTTCACCATATTTCTGTTTTTGAACAAACAGAAAAACCGAAAGGAGATTCCTTGTTACTGGGAGAAGCAGCCGGCGGGCTGCCAGAAGCCGCACTGCGCCTTCTTTCATGAGCGACCTCGCTTTGTAGAGGGCATCTTCGTCCCTCCAGATAAAAGTAAGCCCGGATTTATTTTATTTTTTATTAAAACGGGGGACATGAAGCTGGGAAAACCTCTAACTGTTGGGATTTTGTTCCAGTTCAGAGTAAAAGCGAGGAGCAGCCGGAAGAGGAGCCGGCGCCTCCTTCATCTGCTCCTCCTCTTCCCCCCGCCAACACAGCCAATCCTCAGCTCCGAGGAGTCATCAAGACAGAAAGCCAGGAGCCGGTACCGAGTCCGACTCATCCACCGGTGGTCATTAATCCAGTGGATGACGACGAAGACGAGGAGGGTGAGCTCAGACTGCCTTCATCACCTCCATGTTTCCTCCCAGAGAGACGCTGAGCTTCTGTGAAAAAAACAGACGATGTTTAGTGATCGGTGCATCTCCCCTAAAATACATGCTTTAGTTTGTTTTTCAGAAATCTATGACATAGAAAATAAACCAGATCCGCAACTAACGATTATTTTGCAAATTGATTTATCTGTTGATTATTTTTAAGAAATAAAGTCAGGTGGAACTAAAACTTGTCCACTTAAGGAGGTCTGGATAGAGCTGAAGACAGACAGACCAAAATATTTGTTTTTAATCTTAAATGCAAAATAATTGGATGCATATTTTTAAAATCCTGCTATAATCCCTGCTCTGAGTGTGTCGCTCTGTCAGCTAAAGGCAGGTTTTACACTCTATACTCCAGTTAACCATTAATTCATTACTAAATAATTTGACGATTATTTCAATAATAGAATCATTAATTGTTTCGGTCTAATCTGTATCAAACAATTCACCAGAATTTTTTTTTTCCCATTATTGGTTCCGTCCTGATAGCGGAACCAATGAAATGATGCTGCGGTTGGTGCTTTGTCAGACCAGCATACCCATAGTCAATACGCAAGACGCTAGATTTGCGTTTAACTCTTTAGTCATGTACAAAAACAATTTTAGGTCAGATCGCCATACGATTAAAAAAAAACACCAAAAAGTGAGTCCTTAAATAGTGTTTTCAGCACCATGTTGAGGTAATGATCGATAACCTGACTCCGCCAGATGGATTTGCTCCGCATATCCATCTGGAAACCTTCCGTTGAAGTAATTTTGGGAAGGGGCGAAAATACTGGTTAGCTGATTGGCCTATGTTGGTGATAGACGGGCCAAATAAACCAATCAGATCAACGAAGCATATGACGTACTAACAGAGCGACGATGAAGAGGAGCCAATTGATAGATCAAACTCTTGCCGAAACCAGTCGGGAGAAGAGCAAAAACATCTTTTCCTCTGAGAAAAGCCTCCAGAGCAGTGTTTTGCTCTTCTTTCAGTGAAGAAATACTCTGTAATTCCCATAAAACTTGCTCGATAGCCACGCTAACGCTAGTTTCATCGGCTGAAGCCGCCATGTTCTTTAGACTGAACTGTCGCGCTTCTCGTTGCGTCACACCTCAACCCGCCTCAAAGCCAACGCTGATTGGACGTTCGTTTGGTGAACGGCTCCAAATTTTCTTTAACGGAGAGTCTCCAGACTGATTAGCGAGTGAAACCTTCAGATCAGGATCGTCTCACGAGGCTAAATCATTTTAGTTCAATCCAGGAATCATTTCTATCGCTGTCTGGTTTTTAAACTCCAGATCTTTTCTTTCCAGATCAGTTCTCAGAGGAAGGAGAGGACGGGAAAGTCGGAGCTTCTCCGAGGAAGTTCTCCAAATCAGGTAAGATTCAGAACGAACCACAAACCTCTGAGCTCACAGCTGAAGACGCAGTGAATGTTAGAAGGTCTGGTCTTCACAGCAGACTCGCTGAACTTCGGTGTGAGCACCCTGGAGGAGATACGTCTGAGGAAGGCCCTGAAGTCCAGCATGAGGAGGGCAGGTTCTCCCATCCACAGGCCGCAAACCACCAACAGAGAGAAGGAGAACATCCAGGCGCTGTACCGGCCGGCCCACTCAGAGATCAGAGGTGAGCTTTCCACGTCTATGGTAGAGTTTCTGAGCCTTTCTAACCAGGGTTTAGCTCAGACCTCTGACATGGATGGAGCGTCTCTGGTTAAGGCTCTGCTTGTTTATCCTGTCTGTAAAATCAGGCCCAGTCATCTTTGAAGAACAGCAGAGGCCGAGAGGCAGAGTGATGGAGAGGCTTGGACGAAGGATTTCCAGCACGGGTGAGTGCGCCACCTGCCCTTTAAGGATGGAGTTACAGCCTGAAAGCTGACGGTCGGGTGTCGCTTCAGATTTTAAAAGCATGGAGGGACCCCCCCTGAAGAAGAGTCTGGCTGAGCGTCTGGGCAGAACCGTGGATGAAGAGGCGCCACCGGTTGGCACCCAGAAAGGTGAGCGGGGAAATTGGACGCGAAGATACACCGCTGACAAATATAAAAAACGTTCCTAGATAAGTTCTACAAGCTCAACATGCAAACATTTACTCCAAAATCAAAGTCGTTAATCCGACACCTAAGTGTTTTATCCCACTATAGAAAAGGACTATGTGGGCTTAAATATATAATAAGCATTCATGACTAAATGTTTATCCAGGAGCTAATGTCACATAGTAGCATGAGGTGAGGGAGGAGCAGTGAACGCTCCCATCGCACATCGCTTCACTAAAGAGCTGCCTGCGGCGCCACGGGTTGCCGACCCCCCCTATAAGAGTATTTTTCTCACATTCCAGCTCTTAATGCTGATTTATGCTCACAAACCAGGTCGTCTGCATGTTTTTCGCAGTAAACGCAGATATGCCCCGCCCCCTCCGCAGACACTCTGCTGCGCCTCCCCAAAATTCTAGGTGACTGCAGACAGGAGGTCTCTGATTGGTCAAATCTACATCCGCTCTACTCTATGCGTATTTCCTGTTTGGTTCCTTACCGGCTTGTTCTGTTTGTCTGACCGCCATTTTGGAAAACGACTGGTGAAGATGGACCCGCTGCATGAGAATGCTGGGACCCTTCTCCCACCTGGATCCCCGCTCTTTTTGACCCTCATGTTCCTCCGTTGTCGCACAAACTTGCCCCCACTTCCTCACCACCTCGGCCGTATCTAGACCCACAGCTAGTTCCTGATTGGCCCTCTGGCGTTGTGGCGTGGAATAACAGCGCAGACCACGCTTCGATGTTGAATAAATCAAAAATATCAGCGACAAGCTCACTGCGACACACTGCTGCAGAAGGATAACCAGGCCTTCAGCCCTGGCTGCTGATTCACCAGATGCATGCTGGGTAAAGAGGGAGGATCGAGAACAATATCTGGGCACTTTGTCTGTTCTCAGTATTCTTGTTCTTGTGAATTGGAACAGTACTGGGGCTGAGATGAGGACGCACAAGTAGACGTATTGAGAAATGACCCTAAATTAGTGACAATTCAAAAACAGAGAAAATAAGAATAACTGGATACAAGCACAGTGAACAACATGAGCACCATAACAAATGTAACGCATGTTTTTAAACTAAGACTAAAGTTTTACTGCAAACTAAAATATAATAAAGGTAAAGGTGTACGTACTGTACCGACTGTTAAGGTGAGGCCATGGGTTTGGCCATCCCAGTATCGTTGCTACCATGAAAGACGTGTTAGAAATGAGCCTGGATCTGCATGCAGCTGCAGTGGACTGACCTGTTTCCTTCTCCTTCAGCCTTAAAGCCTGTTAAAGAACGACTGGGCTTGGTTCCTCCTGTTCGAGGCGCTCGCTCAGGTAAGAGCTGCCACCAGGTGGAAGCACCTTTGATTCATCCTCAAGTAGCTCGTTGTGAATCTTCCTCATGTGTTTCCAGCTGAAGCTACAGCAGCGTCCGCTAAAGCTCCTGAACTGATCCGCATCAAAACTCTGGAGGAGATCAGACAAGATAAGGCGGCCAAATCTTCGGGCCAGAATGATGCTCTTTCAGCCGCTGCAGCTGAGCTTCCTAATACCGACCTAGTGAAGGGGATCAAACGCTCCATCACCGTACGAGGCGCCCAAGTCAGCCACGTGAAAACGTTCTCTGAGATCGTCCGAGCAAAGAAAAGAAAACAGGAAGAGCAACAGAATCAGAACCCCGACTCAAAGGTGGAGCAGTCGGTGGAGAAACCTGCAGGCAAGAGTCCTGAAGGAGCTCCAGATGTGGAGAAGGTTCGGGTAAAAACCCTCGAGGAGATCCGAAGGGAGAAGGCCGCCAGAGTCCAGGCTCAGCAGGCCGAAGCCAAGCAGAGCGCCGACGCGGAGCGCAGTGCTCCCAAGAGGCGCCAAATGCTGCGGATGAAGAAACCGCCGAGCCAACGTAAGGAACACCGAGCTGGAATGTGGCGTTAAATGTAGTGACCTGATGGTAACGCTGGTCGTGTCTTTAACCTGTGTGTCACAGCGAGCGGCGGGACTCCTGAGACGACTCCGGACACGTCGGAGACGCCACGGAAAACCGCCGCAGCTCCAGCCGAGGTATGAACCGCCTAATCCTTTCTGAAGCCCTGCCCCCACTGGTTGCTGCTCTCCTAATGGTGGCTGATGAAACTTTGTCTGTTTAGACCATCAAGGTGAAGACCTTTGAGGAGATCATGCAGGAGAAGCGGCTTCGGAAACAGGAAATGGAAGTTCAGGGGAAAAGCGCGGCTGAAGCCGATTCATCTGAGAACCCGCCTGCAGGCGGAACGCTTAAGAGGAAGCTTCCTGCTAAGATCTGTCCAACGTCAGCGGAGTCTTCCTCACCGTCCGCTGCTTCACCTCCCAGCCGTCCTGTTCGGAAACTCCTCTCCCTCAAACCCCGAGCGCCTTCACCCATGGCGACACCGCCCTCTGCTGGGCCATCAACCGGGGACCGAAGTCCTCCTCAGCAGCCCGTGTCTCAGAGCCCATCCACGGACGCCGTGGACAGAACCCAGACCTGCCCAGCGCCACGCCCGGCAACCCAGCTGGGTGGAAAATCCGCTCAGGCTGCAGACGATCGGGCAGTGGAGAACTTGGCGGACGGCAGCAAGACCAGAGCGGTCTGCTCTAAAGGTGAGGGAATCAGTTCTATTGGCGCCTGCAGGAACCGCCTCACATTTAGAGAGCGTCAGGAACAGCAGCAGGCATGATCCTTAGCTGACACATCAGTGTTACGGTTATACCTCTAAACTGCGTTAGTTTAAAGGAAGGAATCAACTCTATCGCTCTAAAGCTGAAATCTCAGTCCCCCCCCCCCCCTCTGATTAAGGTTGGTTTTTCTTTCTTAAAGGAATAGTACACCCAAAACATGATTAGCCTTCCTTTTCTACTCACCCCCATGCTGAACAACACTCTGGAGTACTTTTTTGATATCTCAAATGCATCTGGAGATCTGGGAGGCTTCTTGCTGTCTGCTGACATTCAAATAATGGAGGTCTATGGCGCCCGAGACAGAAAGGTCCATAAAAGTCCACAAAAACGTGTCAATATTCCTCCATACTGCTCGTCCAATGTATTCCAAGTGTCCTGAGTGGGTAGCATCCAGAATTTACTCGAAACAAAGTCATTTAGAATGTTTTTAGAGCATAAACAGTAGTGTATAGGATTTCCTGAAAGCGCGTTCACGAGTCTACGGAAACCGCGGCAGACCAAACCAGATGAAAGTGCGCATTCAGCGTCTGCTCTGCCGATAATGCAAGCGTAGAAGAAGAAATGTGCCGTTTACCTGTGCAAAGAAAGAAACAACAAAAGAAAAATGTCTGAGGACTTCAGTGTTGAGGAAGAGCATGAGTTCTTTGCCGAGCTGAATGCGCACTTTCATCTGGTTTGGTCTGCCGCGGTTTCCGTAGCGTCGTGAACGCGCTTTTAGGAAATCCTATACACTACTGTTTATGCTCTAAAAACATTCTAAATGACTTCGTTTCGAGTAAATTATGGACGCTACCCACTCAGGACACTTGGAATACATTGGACGAGCAGTATGGAGGAATATTGACACGTTTTTTGTGGACTTTTATGGACCTTTCTGCCTCGGGCGCCATAGACCTCCATTATTTGAATGTCAGCAGACAGCAAGAAGCCTCCCAGATCTCCAGATGCATTTGAGATATCAAAAAAGTACTCCAGAGTGTTGTTCAGCATGGGGGTGAGTAGAAAATGAAGGCTAATCATGTTTTGGGTGTACTATTCCTTTAACATAGATGGCTTCCTTCACGCCTCTCTCACCTGTCTTCTTTGTCCAAAGTGTGAACATCCTGGTCCTCTTTGGTCCTCTGTTTTTCCTCCCTAGTAGATTTAAAGTCATCTTTCAATGTGGCCAATGTAAAGTTTGCTCATTAGTGTCCCAGGTTTCAATCAGAGAACCAATGCAGAGCTAAAGGTGAGGGTGATAGGAAGAGAAAGACTGGTCGGATTCCTGCTCCTCTCTGATTAGGTGGTTACCATTCTGATATAGAAAAGTGGATCCTCCTTTTAGGGGCCAGCTGTCTGCCTCCTATCCAGGATAAACTTATCTTAGATATATTAGTTTATGGGGAGCTGGTGCAGATAAACCTCTTTGCTTCTCCTCCATGATGACGTTTCCTCTCTCTGTGTTTTCAGTGAGGCCTAAGCTGAACGTAAGGCCGTCGGTAGTGAAGCCTGCAGGGCGGCCGGCGCCTGCAGGGCAGAGGAAGAGAGGAGCGGATGCTTCTGCCGTGGCGGCTGTTAAACCCATGAACAGCAGCGCTGCTCATCAGGTGGGTCCTCTCCCTTATTCTACTTACGGTCATCTGGGCAAATCTATTTGAAATGTTCTGCAAGTTTAGCATTAGATTATAGAACTGGAAGTAATAATTAATAGCTCATTCTCATTAATTATTATCAGTAGAAAGATTATAGACTAGGGTTCCAAGTACTGCTGAATGCGGCCGTTACCTCCCCCAGTTTAGTAGTTCAGAATATAGCTATCAGCAAAGTTTAGTGCTGCCGCCATTAAGGCCTGGTTATCCTCCTGCAGCAGTGCGTCACAGTGAGCTTGTCGCAGATATTTTTGATCTATGCCCAATATTGAAGCGTGGTCTGTGCCATGTTATTCCACGCCACAACGCCAGAGGGCCAATCAGGAACTAGCTGTGGGTCTAGATTAGGGGTTTAAATAATAATCATTTTGTGTTGATGCATCGTTCCAACAGCCGACGATCCGATGCATCGATACGTCCGCAAGTTAATCGATTCATGTTTTTTTTTTTTCTCCAGTCTATTTTTATCCATTGGACGTAATTCTCCCTCCCGTGCTGTGGTGGCGCTAAACCTATTTTGCCCTCCTACCTCACTTCCTGGTTATACTCTTACAGCAGTGTGTTGCAGTGAGCTTGACGCAGGCATTTTTGATTTATGCTTAATATTAAGGCGTGGTCTGTGCTACACGCTGTGGGTCTATAAAGGCCGAGGCGGAGAGGAAGTGGGGGCGATTTTAGTCCGACGACGGAGGGACATGAGGGCCAAAAAGAGCGGGGATCCAGGTGGGAAAAGGGTCCCAGCGTTCTCACGCACCTCGCTCTTCTAGCGGGTCCATTAGTTGCGACGCACACGCAGATGATCTGGTTTCTGAGCATAAACCAGCGTCTAGTGGACATAATCAACGATGAAAATTCCTCCAGTTTTTTGTTTTACCAAAAGTAACCAAAGTATAGGAAAACCTTCAGGCAGCTGCTGATAGAGAGAAAGGTTTGTTCACTGTAATGCTCCTTTCATACCAGAGGCGTTTGGGCATCAAAAAACATGCAACCTTTGCTGCTCGCCGCTCTGGTTGTTTATCTGCTCTGTTGCTCCTCCATTGTTCATAATAAATGTTTGAGTGCAGCAATAATAATCAGAGCTGCTCTCTGTTCCTCCAACATAACATTCTACCTGCTTTATTTGAATTTTATTTATGTTATTTTATTAAACCTTTGGAGTTAAACTCCCTCGATCAACGCTATGGATGCGCTTTCATAGTCATTGTTGTGTTTTTGAGACGTCACCAGACAGAGACAGGGTTTATCATATGAGCGCACAGAGACGGTATGGATGGAACTTTTTTTTACTTGGTGTCACCATCAAGCGGCTACTCTGCCAACCCCCAACTGCAGGGACCTATTTAGAAATTAGTCGATAAGATTAGTAGACTAATCGCAAAAATTAGGTAATATTAGTGGTTAGTAAACTAGTGGTTAGTGGCAGCTCTAGAAGAGTTATTCATCACCAACCAAATAAATATGTCTCTGTTCATGAAAAAAGAGTGATCCAGCCTGAGTGATACCAGTCGGGTACAAGTGGCCTAGTCCAAGTCTGGACCCCCATCTGTCCAGAGGTTTTAGATCATTAATTATGAAAGAACAGTTTAAATGTAACCAGGAGATGGTCAGACTCCCCGAGGTGAAGAGAGTTTCTCAATCTGCTCTTTCCTCCTTTCCAGTCTTCAAACAAAGAGGCTGAGCTGCCGCCTGCTGTGCCCCCAACTGCCCCCCACCAGGGAGAGGAGCTTCAGCCCGCCCCCGTCTCTGCTCAGCTTCACGGCAGAAACCCCACAGCAGCCACCAGCGGAGCGGCCGACCCAGACACCCATCCAGGCCCGCAGAGGTGAGCCGCTTCCTTCAGAACCCAGGCCGTTTCTCTTGAGCGTTCTCGTGTGCACGTGATCCATCATCAGCCTCAGCCCGCCCTCTTTACCCAGCATGCATCAGAGCAGACTTGTCCGTTCTTGAGATTGACAGCTGTCCCAGCATGCACTGCAGCAGCAGCAGCAGCTTTCAATGGAGCGCTCCACTGAAAGTTAAAAGCTCTCTTTCTGTTGCTTTTGTTCAATAAAAGTACGTTTTAAGATCATTTTAGGCGAGAATATAATACTTTAAAGCGTCACTATATGGTCTATTTACTGATATAATTAAAAAAAAGGATTTCAGAAGTTGAGAGGACCACAGAAACCAGCGGAGCTCCGAGGCTAACGGCAGCCAGGGCTAACGTTAGCCCGTCTGCAGCGGCCAGGGCTAACGTTAGCCCGTCTGCAGCGGCCAGGGCTAACGTTAGCCCGTCTGCAGCGGCCAGGGCTAACGTTAGCCGTCTGCAGCGGCCAGGGCTAAGGTTAGCCCGTCTGCAGCGGCCAGGGCTAACGTTAGCCCGTCTGCAGAGGCCAGGGCTAACGTTAGCCCGTCTGCAGCGGCCACGGCTAACGTTAGCCCGTCTGCAGCGGCCAGGGCTAACGTTAGCCCGTCTGCAGCGGCCAGGGCTAACGTTAGCCCGTCTGCAGCGGCCAGGGCTAACGTTAGCCCGTCTGCAGCGGCCAGGGCTAACGTTAGCCGTCTGCAGCGGCCACGGCTAACGTTAGCCCGTCTGCAGCGGCCAGGGCTAACGTTAGCCCGTCTGCAGCGGCCAGGGCTAACGTTAGCCCGTCTGCAGCGGCCAGGGCTAACGTTAGCCCGTCTGCAGCGGCCAGGGCTAACGTTAGCCCGTCTGCAGCGGCCAGGGCTAACGTTAGCCCGTCTGCAGCGGCCAGGGCTAACGTTAGCCCGTCTGCAGCGGCCAGGGCTAACGTTAGCCCGTCTGCAGCGGCCAGGGCTAACGTTAGCCGTCTGCAGCGGCCATGGCTAACGTTAGCCCGTCTGCAGCGGCCAGGGCTAACGTTAGCCCGTCTTCAGCGGCCAGGGCTAACGTTAGCCCGTCTTCAGCGGCCAGGGCTAACGTTAGCCCGTCTGCAGCGGCCAGGGCTAACGTTAGCCCGTCTGCAGCGGCCAGGGCTAACGTTAGCCGTCTGCAGCGGCCAGGGCTAACGTTAGCCCGTCTGCAGCGGCCAGGGCTAACGTTAGCCCGTCTGCAGCGGCCAGGGCTAACGTTAGCCGTCTGCAGCGGCCAGGGCTAACGTTAGCCCGTCTGCAGCAACCGGGGCTAACGTTAGCCCGTCTGCAGCGGCCGGGGCTAACGTTAGCCCGTCTGCAGCGGCCGGGGCTAACGTTAGCCCGTCTGCAGCGGCCGGGGCTAACGTTAGCCCGTCTGCAGCGGCCGGGGCTAACGTTAGCCCGTCTGCAGCGGCCGGGGCTAACGTTAGCCCGTCTGCAGCGGCCGGGGCTAACGTTAGCCCGTCTGCAGCAACCCTCTCCCTGCATAGCCGTGTGTGAAGAACCGCTGGTTCTGATGCAGATTTTCTTTTTTTTTTTTTTTTTTTTTTTTTTTTTTTTTTCATTTGACAAAATATTTATTTGATTTGTGTTTATCGGACTATGTCCACCATTATTCCCCTATTAAATGAAAAAAGTCATAATTTATTATCTAGAGACTATTAATAACAGGAAGTGAAATGCAGCTGTAGAAGACCTGAGCGCGCTGTGATGTCATCAGTACGCGTCCGTTCCAATCGACCCATATCTATGCTGCGTGCTCCCGTTCTCGCCAAGTCCAGACTTTCCTGTGTTCTGGCCGAGAACTCGCGAATTGAAAAACGCAAATTGATTTATTTTAAAGAGATTTGCTGTTCTGTCTGCTCAGCATCCCCCCCCTCAGGCCAGACGGGGTAATAATCTGTCCTCTGTCTCTGCTCTCCTTACAGCCGTTTTATTTCCTGTTTTATTCGGGTTATTGTCGTAGTTTGTGCCTCGGACAACATAAAAAGTCCTTCATTAAGTCCACTGCACACATTAGCTTTTAAAAAAAAAAAATTGTGAGTCGTTTTGATGAGGATCTTATTAAAGAAGTATCGCATTTAAACAAGAATGTCTGGAGGATTTTATGCAAATTAACTTAGAAATGCAATTTCTAACACTATGAGTTTTATATTTAAAGCATCTGCAGTCCCTAGAAAGTTACATGATAAAATAAAATAAAATACGTGCCAAAATTCTACAGTAATTTGATCATAGATTGAACTATTCCTCCAACATTGAACATGATTACTATTACTCTTTTATGGGCCAATTTAAACCTTGCTAGCAGAAGGCATCTTGCTCATTTTTTAATCACTTCAATTATTTTTCCTTCTGCTTTGCGAACACACTGCATCCAAGATGACGTAATGTCGCGTTTTATAGATGGCTGACCCTTCTTTAAATACGCGCGAGTATCCTTTTAGTCATGTACAATTGTTGTTTTTTGAAGGGTATGGAGATCTGACGTAATCTGATGTGTATTACTGTGTGTATGCTGGCCTGACGCGGTATGCTGAGATGACAGAACCCCGGTGCAGTCAAAGGACTGGGCTGCTATGGGTTGTTCCTAATTAAACCCACTCTTCTTTTCATCTTAGTCCGAGTCTTAAAAGTCCCACTCAGTCCAAACCGCGGAGGCCCAGCATGGCGGCGTCCCGCACCACCTCCAGCACCGACGCCTCCGTGGACGACTTCGAGGCCCTGATCAACCAGTTCACCGACGACCACCTGGAGGAAGACGTGGACCCGGCCATCGGGGAGGACGACCTGCTGCAGGAGCTGTCAGAGATGATCGACAGCTGAGAGAATCCGCCGCATCTCCAACCTGCTGCCATCACTTTATATTTACACCCGTATGGAGATATATGAACAAAAAAAAACTTCTCTTAAGTATTTTCTTCACATTTATTAGTTTTTAGACCTCCTCCCTTTAGAGACCATTCTGTCTGATTACCTGCAGATCTTTTATGTTACTGTGTCCAACTTCTTTGCTCCTGACGTCTAAAGAAGGCGAGAGAATAGCTGTGGGCAGGAGCTGCAGTGTCTGGGATTCTGGGAGGGAAGCACCATCTTAGGGAGAAGTGTTGTTATCTGTATACTGTGTATGCAAATGGAAATCAGTTTAGATGTAGAACTTCTGGACAGAACACCTCTGCTGGTCTTTTCTTTATGTCCCTGTGGATACCTGAGCTGTTCCTCATCCACTTCCTGTTTAATGGATTAAATGCATCCTCAGTTCCCTGTGTTTGAAGTCAGCATCCCAGCGGAGGTCTCCTCGGCTCCATTTCAGACACCTTTTATCCAGAACACTCTACAAGAACCCAGTCACATCCGCAATACTCTGCGTACCTCAGGGAGTCTCTGTGATGTTTATGTTCCGTAGAAGAAACACTTGGTTTTAGTTTTATTTTAGGAATGGTAGTGGATGGACTGCTGTTTTGATTATGTGTGTGTGTTTGCTCTTCCATGACACTTTGTTACTATCTTAAAATCATTCATGTAAATAAAAGATGCTTTTAATGACCAGTTGGAGACTGATTGGTTTCAGTTTTATAACAACACTGCACTCTCCCTGTGGTAACACCTTGTACCTAGAGATATAAATGTCAAGCTTTAATATATTTCCTCAACAAAAGATTGAGAGGAGAACATTTCAAAGCCACGATATCTTTCTTTTGTGTTAAAGAAATAATGGAAATAAAAAGGTATTTTGTCAAATTACAAAAGAATCTTCATTATGGAGTGAAGTCCTCAAATGGAAAATAACATGTATGCTTATGAAAAATTAATATGTTTAAAATGCATTTGTTATTGTGAGGGGGCTGTAATCCAGAACACAGTAGATCAGGATCAGATATCAGTATCTCAGGCTATGCTGCTATAGCCTTAGGCTGCTGGTGGACAAAGTCCCATCTCCATACTCTGCTTTATTCCCCAGTTATATTCAGTTTATTTCTATAGCGCTAATTCACAACACATTTAATCTCAAGGCACTTTATAGTTCACCAGATCATCCAGTCAGATTGATTAAAAGCTTTCTAGCGACAGTGGAGAGGAAAAACTCCCTTTGAACAGGAAGGAACCTCCAGCAGAACCAGGCTCAGTGTGAGGGGCCATCTGCTGAGGCCCACTGGGGTTCAAGGAGACAGAAGCAGACATAGAAAAAGAAGCATAGATACAAAAGGCAACTGTCAACCAGCTCCACAGGCGGCCCCGTCCAGGAAACACACAGCCAGGCAGACGAGCTCCGAGCCAGCTCCCATGTCAGAGGATGAAGAGAGCACATCCAGTTAGTCACAGTCAGAGAAACAGGACTACACTGGAAAACAGGCCAAGCTCCAACATCTAGAAACAAAAGTGTTGATGGCAGCAGCACAGCTGATATTTCTCTCCAGGATGGAGTCACAGCCAAACAGGAACAGACCAGATGAAGCTACTATGAGAGCAGAACGTTAGAGATTGAACTAATAGATTCTGCAGAGTGGGAGAATAGAGATAGAATGAAGCAGAATGATGAAAAAGGGGTCCCTATGTCCTCCAGCAGTCTAAACAAAATGATAGACCTGCACCAGGCTGGGAAGTCTGAATCTGCAATAGGTAAACAGCTTGGTGTGAAGAAATCAACTGTGGGATCAATTATTAGAAAATGGAAAACATACAAGACCACTGATAATCTTCCTCGATCTGGGGCTCCACGCAAGATCTCACCCCGTGGGGTCAAAATGATCACAAGAACGGTGAGTAAAAATCCCAGAACCACACGGGGGGACCTAGTGATTGACCTGCAGAGAGCTGGGACCAAAGTAACAAAGGCTACCATCAGTAACACACTACGCCGCCAGGGACTCAAATCCTGCAGTGCCAGACGTGTCCCCCTGCTTAAGCCAGTACATGTCAAGGCCCGTCTCAAGTTTGCTAGAGAGCATTTGGATGATCCAGACCATGACTGGGAGAATATCATATGGTCAGATGAAACCAAAATACAACTTTTTGGTAAAAACTCTACTCGCCGTGTTTGGAGGAGAGAGAATGCTGAGTTGCATCCAAAGAACACCACACCTACAGTGAAGCATGGGGGTGGAAACATCATGCTTTGGGGCTGTTTTTCTGCTAAGGGACCAGGATGACTGATCCGTGTGAAGGAAAGAATGAATGGGGCCATGATCGTCAAATTTTGAGTGAAAACCTCCTTCCATCAGCAAGGGCATTGAAGATGAAACGTGGCTGGGTCTTTCAGCATGACAATGATCCCAAACACACCGCCCGGGTAACGAAGGAGTGGCTTCGTCAGAAGCATTTCAAGGTCCTGGAGTGGCCTAGCCAGTCTCCAGATCTCAACCCCATAGGAAATCTTTGGAGGGAGTTGAAAGTCCGTGTTGCCCAGCGACAGCCCCAGAACATCACTGCTCTAGAGGAGATCTGCATGGAGGAATGGGCCAAAATACCAGCAACAGTGTGTGAAAACCTTGTGAAGACTTACAGAAAACGTTTGATCTCTGTCATTGCCAACAAAGGGTATATAACAAAGTATTGAGATGAACTTTTGTTATTGACCAAATACTTATTTTCCACCATATTTTGCAAATAAATTCTTTAAAAATCAGACAATGTGATTTTCTGGATTTTTTTTCTCATTTTGTCTCTCATAGTTGAGGTATATCTATGATGAAAATTACCGGCCTCTCTCGTCTTTTTAAGTGGGAGAACTTGCACTATTGGTGGCTGACTATATACTTTTTTTTGCCCCACTGTATCTCTCTTGGTTTGGCTGCCTTTTGCAAGAAGTACTGCATCAGTATCGAGCGACATGGTTCTGGGCAGGTGGTGTGCAAAATAATCTCCTGCAGATAATGAATGATTAGCTGGAACTGGAGTTATAGTTAATTATTTAACTTATTCAAAATTGGAGGTGAACTCAATTTAGTGTTCTTAGTTGAATAATTGTAGCTTTAATTTGCTTACTTACCAGGATTTGTGGTTTCTAAAAAGCTCCTAGCGCCAAATCTAGAGACTTTTTTCTGCTACTGGAGACTTTGGAGACAACATCTAAAAGCAGCGAACTCTGCTCTCCAGAGCGAGTAGATTGGTAACCCCGCCTCCTGCTCTCCTCTATCTTGTCTGCTGTCATGATTCATGCTGCTATTATTTCATCCAAATGAAAAATGGAGAACAGATAAGCAGATCATGGCTTGTCTACAGTGAAAAGAAGGACTGGGTTATTTACTTTGGCCTTTTTGGAAACACAGGAAGGAGCAATCAGCTAAGTGAGCTTAGTGCTTGGAAAAAATCTTTCATTCCTTTAGAGACAGCATGAAAAGTCAGCTGAGTACAAAACATAGAGAGGAAAACAAGAAGAAAAGGGACAAGAAGAGAGGGACACAACCTAGAACAGATAATGGATGTCTATTCTATTAACATTTCTACATCTGGAGAATGGGGCTGTTTGATGTGTTTTCTCAATTCAGGGGCCCCTGCCTGTCTTTGCCTAGGGCCCCACATTCCCTAAATCCGCCCCTGAAGTTTTATGTAAAAAAAAAAAAAAAAAAGCTTTTTCTGAAGACTCCCCACCGCAGGATGGCGCCACCACACCGGATTGAGTGGAAGGAGGTGTTATGCCGAAAAGCTCGTGCCTGCTGAGAGTTGCCTCCCCTTTGGCGGGAACGCGCACCGCACTAAGTTTGAGAACATATTCTTAATGTTTTTATATTTCTAATGGTAAATGCCCTAAAATGCAGATTTTTGGTGGACAGATATGTTCTCTGCTCAGCAGATAGTGGTTCAAAACCTTTCTAAAACTATACAACAGCAAGAGATTTATTTCTGTTTAGAGAATCAAGTAACATTATGAGAATAAAGTCATAATATTAGGAGAATAAAGTTGTATTTTATGACATCTCTTACTAGAAGCAGTGTTTTCTCGGAAAACTGCACAAAAAGCATCTCCTGCCTATTTGCTCTACTAAAATAGAAACTCCTTAAACTGCATTTCAGGACATCCAGACATAAGAAACATGAAAACAATAAAAATATGATTCAAAGTTCATATTTTAATACGTTTTCTCCTCCATGTGAGAGTTTAGGGCGATGCGCGCTCCCGCGCCAGTATTTGTCGGCAGTCACGCGCTTGTCGTCATAACACCGGCCGCTCGTGCTTCCGGTGCGGGATGGAGGCTGGAGAGAAGATGAGCAAACTGGAGCTGCTGAGCGTCTTCCTGAACGAGCGGCTGGCCGCCGCCGCCGCGGAGATCTTCGGGGCGGTGAAGGACGCGGTGGCCGAACAGCAGCGCGAGAACCAGCGGCTCCGGAAGCTGCTGCACGCGGCTGCCCAGCGGCTGCAGCTGCAGCTGCATCCAGGTGAGGATCAGCAGCTTCTCATCCACTGCTGGATGGGTGGATGCTCTGCTGCTTCACTTTTAACATCTCAGCAATTTGATCTACTTTAAAAATACGAAAAAGGAAAATAAAACATAAGGCTGGCTGAGGGGTTTATAGCTCCTTCACTTATTAACACATTTAATAAAAACAGCTACACTGATGGGAGCTTAGAAGACTCCATCCAGTTAACTGGCTTCAAAGGTACACTACAGGTCAAAAGTTTGGGGTCACATTGAAATGTCCTTATTTTTGAAAAGCACTGTACTTTTCACTGAAGATAACTTTAAACTAGTCTTAATTTTTAAAGAAATACACTCTATCCATTGCTAATGTGGTAAATGACTATTCTAGCTGCAAATGTCTGGTTTTTGGTGCAATATCTACATAGGTGTATAGAGGCCCATTTCCAGCAACTATCACTCCAGTGTTCTAATGGTACAATGTGTTGCTCATTGGCTCAGAAGGCTAATTGATGATTAGAAAACCCTTGTGCAATCATGTTCACACATCTGAAAACAGTTTAGCTCGTTACAGAAGCTACAAAACTGACCTTCCTTTGAGCAGATTGAGCTTCTGGAGCATCACATTTGTGGGGTCAATTAAACGCTCAAAATGGCCAGAAAAAGAGAACTTTCATCTGAAACTCGACACTCTATTCTTGTTCTTAGAAATGAAGGCTATTCCATGCGAGAAATTGCTAAGAAATTGAAGATTTATAGTGATGGTGAGATGAAGCCTCATGAGGCTTTGAACCGTTTGGCCAAATTGCTTCAGCGATCCCCACAGTTCAAGAGGCTTCATGTGAACATGTCACCACCTACTGGTGGAGTGCAGAACTACAGTTTGTAATACAATCTGTGATTTTTTTTTTTTTTGCAACTGTTTTTCTTTTTTCCCCTTTAAGTTCCCTTGAAATTATTAATGGTTGGTGTGTATAATAAAATCTTTTGTAAGTATTTTTAAGTGTAAAATTTCTTAGAACAATAATTTAAGGTGCACCGTTTTTCTGTCATTTTAGTTAAATAAACTCAAGCAGACTGTGACAGTGTTTGTGCAAATTGGGTAATAATGAGCAAAATGAAAGGTGTTAGTCATTTTTAATCAAACATGATAGTTTTTTTCACGTTTTTTGGTTTTAATCAGGTTGGAAGTTGTGTTCAACCAATCTTTTGGCTAAATCGACCTAATTTACCCAATCTATATTTTTACTCGGGCAAAAAAATGCAAATTAGTCTCATCAGCCAAAAATAATTAAGTGTAATCGAAATTTTCAAAAGTCAAAGACAGGACTTGAACCATCAACCTCTAGAGTGGGAGCCTGACTGTTACAGCTGACGCCACCTACGTGGCTGATCTCCCCCAGGAGAAAATACTTCTTAACACTGACGTGTTAACGCGGGCTTTGTCCGGTGGTTTGCTCAAATTTTGATAATTACATTGTTTATTCAAACCAAATTAGCAACTAGATTGGTTGGAAAAACAACCAATCTATTCTTAGAATCTATCCAAACTTTATCCAGCTGAGAGCAGCTCTCCTCCAAACTCCCACATCTTAACTGAACACTGAGGCTGTTTAGATGCCTTTCAAAATTCTTGCGCGTTCTGAACCACTTTGCGAAGCGGTCACGTGGTTTCACGGTAATGAGGCCTCGGACGCCATCAATTTTGGCCCCTCCTTTAAATGAATCACGCCTCGACACGCGCTTCGGGGAAACACCCCCGCCATTACTCGACACACGCCTCGAAGCCTCGGCTCATCTCATAACATCACTAAAGATTTCCTACAACGGTGTGTACTACTCCCTTCAGAGGACAGCACAAACAGGCTCTAACCAGAGTAGAAAAAGAAGTGGGAGGCCGCGTTGCACAACTGAGCAAGAAGATAAGTACATTAGAGTCTCTAGTTTGAGAAACAGACGCCTCACAGGTCCCCAACCGGCATCTTCATTAGACAGTACCAGCAGTAGCCTGTTTGTGCTGCCCTCTGAAGGGAGTAGTACACACCGTTATAGGAAATCTTCAGATTCAGATCCACAGCTGACACAAAATGCTGAACATCAAAAAGAATAAAATAATAGTGCAGAATAAAACGCAATATAAATGATTAAACTTAGACTTAGACAACTTCTACTTCTGTATTGTTTTCTTTATTACAGCTTTCAGACAGTTATTTCCATTCCATAAAGTGCAGCAGTGATCAAAGGTAAACGGCGTGGGAGAAAAAAACATGGTGCATTGAATGCTGTGAAGCTTCTTCCCAGAGGGCGGCAGGGAGAACAGTCCATGGTGGGGGGGTGGGGGGTCATTGATGATGTCACAGGCTCGGGACACGCAGCGCTGGGATGAAATGTCTTTAATGGAGGGAAGAGGAGCCCCCATGATCCTCTCTGCTGTTCTCACTAGGGCTGCAACTAACGATTATTTTAAAAATCGATGAATCGGACGATTATTTTTTCGATTAATCGATGAATCGGACAAAAAATATTTTTTATATTAACCTCTTTATTCCAAAATAAACATTTTAGACAGAACAAACGAGCACACAAGTACAGGTTGCTCATTAACTGTACTGGTGCAATATGAAAAATAAATGTTTGTGTTAAAACTACGCAAACTTACATGAGAAATGTAGCTGTACATCCACAAAATATAGGCTACTTTGTTTCATAAAGCGCAAAAAAAAACATTTTTGTTTTTTAAAGCCCCTAAGGGGTTCAAACAATAGGCCCCCCCATTTCAACAAATGAGTTTTTTTTAGACTAGAAGAGTTCTGCCTTTTAAGACAGGAAAGTATAGCAGTTAAAGTTGCTACTTGAGAAAATACTGAACCATAGAGATAAAAATAGCCTGTGATTCAAATTATAAATTGTATTTGGAATAAAAATGAGAGAAAAAACACATCCTCCAAAGACAGATATTTACATGGGAATGTGGCAGATAATTAATTGACATATTACTGATCTTGCTGGATTTTATTCTGCTTTACTTCCATAAATTGCAGGATCTTCTTTACTTTATCTTTGCCAGAAGATTTAAACTTTAAAAGCCTTGCCCTCATAATTTGCAAGTTAATTTATTTATAAAGAAAATATAAACGCTGCTTAAGCTAATTCAAATGAAATTAAAGGTAAAATAAGTAGCCAACCTTATCACTGTCTGTAACCTACTAACACGGTAAGGAAAGCATCAGATGAGCTACCTGAGAAACTAACGTTACGTTTCCCCACTTTAAAACCAAACATGGTGGTTCCGTGCCATGTTCATTTCTTTTGAAAAAAGTTGCATGTTATCCCTTTTTTCGTTTTACAAAGCGCAGGCTATTTTAATTATTGTGATCAATTTGCGCCGTCAATCCCGGCGCGTGTGCGCTTCATTTGCAGTCTGGACGCTGAGGCTCTGACTGCAGCTGAGAGGGACTCCTGCGGGAGCGGGGGGAGGCGCCCCACGGCAGAGTAGGAACGATACATGCTTTCACGTAAGAGTCTCCAAAAGCCGCCAGTGAAACCGAAAAAAGTCGCCAGATTTGTCGCTAGTCGCTTTTTTGAAAAATAGTCGCTGGAGGGGTCTGAAAAGTCGCTGAGTTGGATACACTGCTCCTGCGGCGCTGACTCGCTCTGCCGTATTTTTTTTTCTTCCTCTTTCAGTCAAGAGTGATGACGGCGCGGCGGATGACGCAATAATCGCGCGACACAACTAATCGATGATGAAATTCGTTGCCAACGCTTTTAAAAGTCGATTTTTATCGATTTTATCGATTCGTTGTTGCAGCCCTAGTTCTCACCTTCTTCCAGTCTGAGGCACTGCAGCCTCCACACCACACAGTGAGACAGCTACTCAGAACGCTCTCTATGGAGCTTCTGGAGAAGGTGGGGAAGTCAAAACTAATTTGGGTTGAAGGGCAGTTAGTAAAAGTTGAAGGGCAGTTAGTAAAAGTAAATTTTAAAGATGTTTTCAAGGGACCCATAGAGCGTTCCATCACCTTGGGGCCCCAATGGAAAGGCCCCATCATCTCTCTGCCATCATGAGCAATTGGTCAGCAGGCTCGACGGACTGTTTAGCTACTATTTGACTTCCCTCGTTTGTCCTAAATTATAAAAAAAAAAAATTTACGTTTAAAATGGCCGTCTGCCTTAAAACCAAGATTTGTTTCAGTGGACCAAACATACATCGTCAGGCACTTAAGATCAATTACAAGAACCGTAATCATTTTCCATTGCCAAGTTTTAATATCCTCAAGACACAATAAACAGGCATCTTTCTGGCCTCTGGTGTTAAAAAGCTTTGATGTGCCGAGGCTGATTTTCTCTGCAATGCTTCTTTCCCACTTGCAAAAAAAAACCTGCTTAAACCCGGGAACTTTAGTGGCAGTGGGAGCGGCTCACTGACCCGCGTCGACCCGGTGTTCTGTCAGATGAGCATACCCGGTCAGACCAGCGTACCTATAGTCCCTTTAGTTTATCCCTTTAGTTTTGTACGAAAAGTAAACTTTAAACTACCTCAACGGGCATGTATCCCTTTAGTCATCTAAAAAAAACTATTTCATCACTTACTTTTTGGTGTTTTTTAAGCTTATGGCGATCTGACCTTGAATATTTATTTTCTGTACACGACTAAAGGGATACACGCCTATTAAGGTAGTTTAAAGTCTATTTTTCCTACAAAACTAAAGGCATAAACGCAAATCTGACATCTTGCGCATGTGTATTGACTATATAATATACTGAAATAAAAGAAATGTAAAGGCACGTTTTGGGCCACTAGGGGTTCTACACCTGTATCTGCCCGTATTTTGCTTCTGCTTCTGTCATGGTCCCTTGTTTTCTGACCCAAATGAAGAACACACCCGTAGATGGGTAGGGCTGGTCATCTGTTAAAAATACAAAACAAGGACGACACAGAGTTCCTTCAGGACGTCTGGAAACGTGGTGGGAGTGTGAGGCACACTGCAACATAGAGCGAGAGTTAATGAGAGTATGCGTACGATGAGAATGACGGCACTAATAGGTAGGGATGGGGATCGTTAATATTTATTGATATCGATACCTTTATCGATACTCCTTATCGATCCGAGTCTTTATCGATACCACTATCGATACTTTTCTGTTATTTGGTGGAAAGAAGATGCGACAATATGTGTTTAACAGACAGAAAGGAAGCGGGGGGGGGGGACTACTTGAAGAAATGTCTTCTTTTGGTTTAAAAAAATATATAAATTTTCACAATTGTTGGTTGATGTATTGTCTACTGTCACTTTTCATCATGTTTTTAGTGATTAGGAAAATATTTAGCAAATAAATAATTGTATTTTAAATTAAATGTAATTTTTAATAAATGTTGGCATCAGTAGTTTAAATATATATGCTAAAATAATTAGAGCAATATACAACTGTATTACTCGTGTTTCTTGCCAAAAACTCAATTTCCCTTTTCTGTACGTTACACTTGAACGCATCGTGATAACCTAATTGTTTTACTGAGCCAATCTGAACACATCATCACGCAGCACGTCTGAAACTATTTACTTTTCAAGCTAACTAGCTTGTATGCTTCCGATTACAACACGGATTTCACAATTACTACTTTTAACTGACCGGACAAGCTACAAAGTCTGTGCTCGCTTAGCAGTGGTACTCTGAGTGGATGATGAAGACGGGCCCGACTGTGTTGCGGCGGCAGCAGCCGGAGGAGGAGGAGTCTTTTCAACCCGGAGACAGTCGAAGGTACTGCATTTGGCCTTTATTTGATGCACAATACTAATGTGCTTGGCCATTGAGGTTGTGTTCCCCCCTTTAAAAGAGATGATTTTGCAATATAAGTTGCATTTCGCTTCTTCTTTATCTTTGAGCTTCGAGTCGCGAGCAAAGTTAACTGCCAGACTTCACTTGTTTTACTTTTAATATCTGTTTTCTTACAATTTCATTCCAAAACATTGGTGGACATGCTGCAGTGATTGGATTGATTAGATTTAAATACTGTGACGCGACTCGAGGGACACACAATTATGTTACAGGACCTCCGGGAGGAAAAAAAAAAACGACCAGACGGTTAGGCAGGGCTCGGCAAATCAGTCTGCAAGTGACAGTCAGCTGGGCGTTTGATTGAGCGGCGGCATGATGGCGCAGAACCGAACAATCACGTATAGTTAACAGGAGAAAAACAAAGACTGGGACGGAACAGAAACCATCGCAGGGACCTGACAACATCAAAAACTATAACAAAGATCTCGGACGGTAGACTAGGAGCATTCCTTTCACGTTTTCTCTTTTTAGCCTCAGAAGGTTTAAACCTTTTCCTTGCCTCAGCCATGACCAGTAGTGGATCAGGTAGAAAAATAGTGGAGCTAAAGATTTAAAGGAATAGTACACCCAAAACATGATTAGCCTTCATTTTCTACTCACCCCCATGCTGAACAACACTCTGGAGTACTTTTTTGATATCTCAAATGCATCTGGAGATCTGGGAGGCTTCTTGCTGTCTGCTGACATTCAAATAATGGAGGTCTATGGCGCCCGAGGCAGAAAGGTCCATAAAAGTCCACAAAAAACGTGTCAATATTCCTCCATACTGCTCGTCCAATGTATTCCAAGTGTCCTGAGTGGGTAGCGTCCATAATTTACTCGAAACGAAGTCATTTAGAATGTTTTTAGAGCATAAACAGTAGTGTATAGGATTTCCTGAAAGCGCGTTCACGACGGTACGGAAACCGCAGCAGACCAAACCAGATGAAAGTGCGCATTCAGCGTCTGCTCTGCCGATAATGCAAGCGTAGAAGAAGAAATGTGCTGTTTACCTGTGCAAAGAAAGAAACAATGAAAGAAAAATGTCTGAGGACTTCAGTGTTGAGGAAGAGCATGAGTTCTTTGCCGAGCTGAATGCGCACTTTCATCTGGTTTGGTCTGCCGCGGTTTCCGTAGACTCGTGAACGCGCTTTCAGGAAATCCTATACACTACTGTTTATGCTCTAAAAACATTCTAAATGACTTCGTTTCGAGTAAATTATGGACGCTACCCACTCAGGACACTTGGAATACATTGGACGAGCAGTATGGAGGAATATTGACACGTTTTTTGTGGACTTTTATGGACCTTTCTGTCTCGGGCGCCATAGACCTCCATTATTTGAATGTCTGCAGACAGCAAGAAGCCTCCCAGATCTCCAGATGCATTTGAGATATCAAAAAAGTACTCCAGAGTGTTGTTCAGCATGGGGGTGAGTAGAAAATGAAGGCTAATCATGTTTTGGGTGTGCTATTCCTTTAAGATTTAGTTCCACAGCAGGTGGAAGTTTTTTCCACAATAAATGGACTCTGCCATCTGTTTGGTACTAACCTCATTGATGGGATGTTTTTTTTTTTCAGAACCTCTCTCCGTCCATCTCCAAGAAAAAACCCAACTCTGTGAGCCTGATGGGTCGTCAAACATGGAGCTGATTCCTCAAGTAAAACAAGAATCAACCGTCACACAGACGGAAAGTGATAATACTCAACAAACAGACGAGGCAGTAGAAGGAGTCTGCTTCAATAATGAGCAGCAGACGTCGTGTCCTCCGCTCGTCTCCAATGTCTCTGCACCGCCGCAGACGTGCATGGAAACCAAAATGGAAAACACTGAGGAGGAGAAGGAGCTGACCCACGGCTCATCGCCTGTGGCTGTCCCTGTGGACTGCAGAGCAGCCTTCTCTCCCGCAAAGAGTCCAAAGAACTTGAGAACTAATGTGGAGGGGAAGGGGGCGCTTCGTTCCAACAGCAAACAGAGCATGCATCCACTGCCATTAAAGAACATTAGATCGTTGAAGCAGCCCTTGTCTCGCTCGTTTTACCCCAACCAGAGCACTCAGCGGTGGCACAGCTGCAAAGAATGTGGCAAGACCTTCAGCTTCGCCTGCCAGCTGGAGGTCCACATGCGCTGGCACACTAAAGAGAAGCCGTACAGCTGCGCTGTGTGCAAGAAGAGCTTCACAACTGTCAGCATGCTAAAGAGGCACCATCGCATCCACACCGGGGAGAAGCCCTTCCGATGCCATGTCTGCGGGAAATGCTTTAACCAGTCAGCTCACCTCAACACTCATTACAGGCTTCACACAAGGGAAGGTGCAAGCTGGGGGCGAACTGCTCTGTGTCAGTGAACACAACCACAGGAAGCCCAGGAAATGACTTCATTTTCCAGATTTTAAACTGAAATGTTGACTGTTTGTGGCTTTTTTTTTATGCAAAACCTTTAAAGATTTAAAGAATGCTGGTTTAATTCAAAATTGATCTGACCTGGAACAACAAATCCCTCCCATTGTTTTGGGGGACGCACAATAAAGAAGGTTTTCTCAAAAGCACTATTTTGGGGTTTGGCATTTACTGTGAAATCGAGTGTTGAAAGGTGTAGGTATTTCATCTTATCAGTTCACTTACTGTCAAGTAAACTAGTGGAAAGAACACAACATAAAATATTAAATAACCATACTAAGCATATTCTGAAAAATAAAATAAAAAATCCACTGAACTTTGCTTCCAAGTTTGAAGACGTTTCTCTTCCATGCAGGAAGCTTTTTTAATTCAAAATGTCAGAAATAGCGTTTAGTTCCAGGTTTTATCCAGCAGCCCAACAAAGCCTGGTTTTAGTTTAGAAAACATGCAAATACAAACGGATGAACGGGTCCCCCCCTTTGGAATGGGGCAGACACAGGAAACTGAATAGGCTTATCTAAAAGCTTTGACTTTTTCATTTATTGAGGAACAATGAAAACCGATTTACATAACATTAAAACTGACGAATTAAGACAATTAAGTCAAAATTGGCAATAAATAAACCAAATTTGTAGTTTTATCAGCCTTTGTAAAGTGCAATATTAAACTTATCTAAAAAATAAAACTCTGCAGACAAGTGATATCAAATAAATTCTAATTTAAAAAATAATGCATTGCACAAAGCGGTGTGGCTCTAAAGGTACTAAAGAAACCAGCATTGGCACAACAAATGGAAAAACATGACTGCACAGTTTGCATTGATTATACAATTTTATAGAGACCTCTAGTGGCCTCACATGTTGTCTGCAGCAGGGGCGGATTTAGGAAATTTGGGGCCCTAGGCAAAGAGAGGCAGGGGGGGCCTCTGAATGGAGAAGACATCACATCAAACAGCCCCATTCTCCAGATAGAGAAATGTTAATAGAATAGACATCCATTATCTGTTCTAGGTTGTGTCCCTCTCTTCTTGTCCCTTTTCTTCTTGTTTTCCTCTCTATGTTTTGTACTCAGCTGACTTTTCATGCTGTCTCTAAAGGAATGAAAGATTTTTTCCAAGCACTAAGCTCACTTAGCTGATTGCTCCTTCCTGTGTTTCCAAAAAGGCCAAAGTAAATAACCCAGTCCTTCTTTTCACTGTAGACAAGCCATGATCTGCTTATCTGTTCTCCATTTTTCATTTGGATGAAATAATAGCTGCATGAATCATGACAGCAGACAAGATAGAGGAGAGCAGGAGGCGGGGTTACCAATCTACTCGCTCTGGAGAGCAGAGTTCGCTGCTTTTAGATGTTGTCTCCAAAGTCTCCAGTAGCAGAAAAACGTCTCTAGATTTGGCGCTAGGAGCTTTTTAGAAATCAAAGTGCTAGAGGGGTCTGAAAAGTGGCTAAATATAGCGACTAAAGCGCTAAGTTGGCAACACTGCTCTTTGCATGGTTTGTTTTCAAATGGTTTGCTGCTGTCTGTTTGGACCTTTCTGAACATGTGCAGCAAATGCATAGAGGCATGTAGTCTAAGGAGCCCCATTGCAGCATCAAAGAGTGCCAAAAGTAGGAGAAAGCTCAACACTATATTCCTAAAAGTTGGCTTCCTCTTTGCGCATACTTTCAGAATATCATGTACAGTATTCACTGATAGGAAAACATTCCAAATAAAACCATATAAATGAGAGAAAGTAGGAAAGGAGCAGCACAGAGCCGACAGAACAGGCTTCTGCATGCACAGGGCCATCTGGAACATATCCATGTTCAGTGCAAAAATAATTTTCTGGCTCCAAAGGGATTAAGTAAACACTATCAGGATAAAGGCTGGCGTATATTGGCGTATTTTAACAGAAACATGATTTTGGGGGTTTTCAGTAAAGTAGTAAATAACTGGGTCATTATAACATTCAGAGCACATCTACACAGCCGATTAACCTCATCATTGGAACACTAAAAAAACACATGTATGGTGCTGTATGGGTAGCACTGCTGCCTTGCAGCAAGAAGGTTCTGGGTTCAATTCCAGCCTGTGGTCTTTCTGCATGGATTTTGCAAGTTCTCCCTGAGAATGCGTGGGTTCTCCGGCTTCCTCCCACAGTCCAAAAACATGACTGTTTAAGGATGTTTAAGCAGCAGCATCAGATTAATCTCCATTGCTGCTTCTACAGCTTTATGTGGAAGAGAAGAACATTACTTTGGAAGTTCAATCAGGTGATCAAACAAATGAACATCAGAGCTTGTTTAATATGCAGGAAGCCTCTCCTTTAATATCACTTCACTGTACAAGTATTGCACTCTAGATCGAATGGCAAATGGACTGGCTTCATGTTTTCAATCACAGCAGCCGCTTAGAAGACTTAAAAGCAGAGACATATTCAGTCATTCAAGGTAAGAAACACTTTTTAAGGCTGAGGGCTACTTGACTGCTACTGAGTCATAGGAAGGTCTACAAATACTCTCCTACGAACTAACGAATATAATGTTTAATTTACAATATTTTTTAATAATTATAAATAATGTTTTTATTAATTTCTAACCTTTTAGATATCGTCTTTCTGAAATCTCTATAAATGCTTAATCTGATTAATGTGGTTAAATGCTCAATAAATCATTAAAAAAGAGCAACAGATTAAAGTACATTTCAAACTTAACTCACTGATAAGTTGTTTTCAGGGCACCCTGTGTGGCCCTTAAGGGCCCCAAGGTTCCTGTGGCACTGCGTTGGTGACCCCTGGTTTAGAACAAGATTCTTACACTCACCGGCCACTTTATTAGGTACCCCATGCTAGTAACGGGTTGGACCCCCTTTTGCCTTCAGAACTGCCTCAATTCTTGGTGGCATAGATTCAACAAGGTGCTGGAAGCATTCCTCAGGGAGTTTGGTCCATATTGACATGATGGCATCACACAGTTGCCGCAGATTTGTCGGCTGCACATCCATGATGCGAATCTCCCGTTCCACCACATCCCAAAGATGCTCTATTGGATTGAGATCTGGTGACTGTGGAGGCCATTTGAGTACAGTGAACTCATTGTCATGTTCAAGAAACCAGTCTGAGATGATTCCAGCTTTATGACATGGCGCATTATCCTGCTGAAAGTAGCCATCAGAAGTTGGGTACATTGTGGTCATAAAGGGATGGACATGGTCAGCAACAATACTCAGGTAGGCTGTGGCGTTGCAACGATGCTCAATTGGCACCAAGGGGCCCAAAGAGTGCCAAGAATATATTCCCCACACCATGACACCACCACCACCAGCCTGAACCGTTGATACAAGGCAGGATGGATCCATGCTTTCATGTTGTAGACGCCAAATTCTGACCCTACCATCCGAATGTCGCAGCAGAAATCGAGACTCATCAGACCAGGCAACGTTTTTCCAATCTTCTTTTGTCCAATTTCCATGAGCTTGTGCAAATTGTAGCCTCAGTTTCCTGTTCTTAGCTGAAAGGAGTGGCACCCGGTGTGGTCTTCTGCTGCTGTAGCCCATCTGCCTCAAAGTTCCACAAACTGTGCGTTCAGAGATGCTCTTCAGCCCATGTGATTGGCTGCTTAGAAATTAAGTGTTAACGACCAGTTGGACAGGTGTACCTAATAAAGTGGCCGGTGAGTGTATATTGTTACTGATAATAAAATTACATGTTTTTTTTTCTTACAAAGCATCTGCAGATACAGCTGAGCTCAGACCGAGCCTCACTGTATGTGTGTCTAACAGAAAACGGATGGTTGGAGCTGGGCTGTTCTCACATTTGGTGGATTCAACTGTACCAGAGTCACTGGACAACTTCTGAGGCTGGCAGTCTGGGGTATGGATGGAAAAGTCTGAAATATAGAGGGTAAATAAGAGCGGTGTTGGTACGGCTCCCTGCGGTGCTCCCGTTGTTAAAGAAAAATGATTATTTTTAGTTTTTAATACAGTTAATCTTATGGCATGTGTAAAAGGTATGTTGAACACTCTCATTTTGAACATATTTCTTAATTTTGAACAAGTTTGTGTTAATGATTTAAAACTAAACTATTGATGGGTAAGTATTCAAAGTACAGGAAGGAAAATGTAGATCAAAGGGGATCTCGCAATGAGGCTCCGGTTGTTTGTCAGGATGGCAGGAGAGGCTCCGCATTCCACAGCTATCTGTGAAATCTTATCTTATGTTTTCCTTAGCCAGATGACCTTAGAATTCCTGGAGGCCAGGACAAGCTCTCCGTTTTTCTTGTTAAAGCAAAGGAGAAAATGGCCCCAGATGTTTGCCGTAAATTAGGGGAAGTTCTAAGTTTTTCTGAGTGTCCAAGGTAGCTTCCAATTGGTCAAGCGGAGGCACGCCTTAACTGAATATACTAAAAGGAAAGACACACCTACATTATAAAACTTTCTACACAGAAGTAACAAATCAGATTTGCTCTTGCAACTCTCCAAAGATGTCTTTGTACGTCTTTGCTTTCTTTCCTTCTCTACATTTATATCAGGTAAATGAATGTATGTCTCCATTGTTTTGCAGTTTCTGGTGTAAGTTTGTGCAATGTCTTACTTCTAAGTTTATGCATTGTCTTATATTGGATTAAACTCTGTAATTCTGTGACGCCAACACGCATTGCTGGTTTCCTTGTGGCCACACGCAGCTCGCCGGGAGGGCCTGGGATCAGAGGAAGAGAGAGAGCCAAACTTTTTCCAAAGTTAACTATTTTAGAATATTTTCTTCCTTAACACCGTTGATTTTAATCTTCTGAAGGTCAGGATGATACGGAAGCGTATTACATTCACCAAAGAAAAAAAAAGAAAAAAATCTGACAGCTTCTCTCGTAATTACGAGATCTTATTTCGTACTTATGAGATTGTATCTATATCTATATATTTGGTTATGCTTACTTGAGCATGTAATGTAGAATCTTCATGATCACTTATTAAGAATATCTGCATCTGTTCCACTGAACAGTTCTCTGCAGGTCTAACATGATATGCGTTGGAGTTCCACTCCTGTTTTCACTTCATCAATAAATCCATCCATAACCCTGGGATTACTGCTTGTGGAGTAAGCATGCAGCAATATGACCATACGTGAAAATCCGTCAACAGCTCTATTAATGCAGATTCTGTTTGGTTTTAG